ATTTTTTATTTAAATTCAAATTCTGCCAGCTGACAAGGTGGGATTTGAACCCGCACCCTCAGAACATTAGCCTGGGCCAAGTCCAATTACATTACTGCTACCCCATCAAATTAACTTCAAGATTTTATTGAATTCACCAACTACTCCAGTGAGAAATGATTGTTGGTGAAAAACCCATCTGGTTCATTCATGTCCTAAAGAGACAAAGATCTGCTGTTCTTATCTAATTTGACCTACATGTAAGTCCAGACCCACAGCAACATGGTTGACTCTTAACTGCCTTCTTAGCACCTAGGGATGGGCAATAAATACTGGCTGAGCCAGTGTTTCTTTTTCGGACTGGAAGTCTGTGACCAGCAGTGTGCCACAAGAATCTGTGTTGGGTCCACTGCTTTTTGTTATTTATATAAATGATTTGGATGTCAACATAGGAGGTATGGTTAGTAAGTTTGCAGATGACAACAAAATTGGAGGTGTGGTGGACAACAAAGAAGATTACCTCATAGTACAATGGGATCTTGATCAAATGGGCCAATGAGTGGCAGATAGTGTTTAATTTAGATAAATGTGAGGTGCTGCATTTTGGAAAGGCAAATCAGGGCAGGATTTATACACTTAATGGTAAGAACTGGGAAGTGTTGCTGAACAAAGAAACTTTGACGTGCAAATTCAAAGTTCCTTGAAAGTGGAGTGTCACAGGTATATAGGATAGTGAAGGTATTTGGTATGCTTGCCTTTATTGGACAGTGCATCGAGTATAGGAATTGGGAGGTTATGCTGTGGCTGTACAGGACATTAGTTAGGCAACTTTTGGAATACTGTGTTCAGTTCTGGTCACACTGCTGTAGAAAGGATGTTCTGAAACTTGGAAGGGTTCAGAAAAGATTTAAAAGGATATTGCCACAGTTGGAGGGTTTAAGCTACAGGGACAGGCCAAATAGGCTGGGGCTATTTTTCCTGAGGCGTCGATGGCTGAGGGGTGACCTTATAGAAATTTATAAAATCATGAGGGGCATGGTTAGGGTAAGTGGACAAGGTCTTTTCTCTGGGGTGGGGGAGTCAAAAACTAGAGGACATGGGTTTAAGGTAACAGAGGAAAGATTTAAAAAGGACCTAAGGGCAACTTATTCACGCAGAGGGTCATGCATGTATGGAATGATTTAGATGGGATTAGAGGGATATGGTTTAGAGGAATATGGGCCAAATGCTGGCAAATGGGACTAGATTAGCTTAGGATATCTGGTTGGCATGGATATCTTGGATCAAAGGGTCTGTTTCCATGCTGTACATCTCTATGACACAAACATTCTGTGAATGAATAAAAAAGATATGTTTGCGGAGTTGGCACTCCCACATCCTGTGAATGAATAAAAATAAATTCTTTCCACCTTCACTGAAGTTTTAATAATGGATCTCCTAACTTTCACCTTCTGTTAGACCTTGTTTGCTTAGATTTTGAATATACCCCTTTAATATGACAATTTTGGCTTTGTGATGTGTCCAGGTCTGTGAACGTCTTGAATTACTTTGGTGGCCACTGACTATCCTTACTTGAGGTGCGCTTCATAGTGCTGCTTTGACAGTGATAATTGGTCCAACCTGTAGGTACATTCCAGCTGACCTAGCCTGTAATACTGGGCTCATATAAAAACATAAAATGCTGGGGAAACTCAGCAGGTCTGGCAGTATCTGTGGAGAGCAAAATGTTAATGCTTCAAGTCCAAAGAATCTTCTTTGAATTTTATACCAGTTTTTAAAAAGTTTTACCTTATTCTTCAGGGATTTGAACTTTATCGAAAGAGCTCCAACGCCCATCCACTCTCCAGCTGAACGCCAACTTCAGATTGCTCCTACAAAGCATCAGCATCCTTTATAATCTGTAAATGCCATGGACACGAATACTCTGGCTCCAAGTGTTTCTAATTCACTTGCTGCAGTCCGTCTTACCAGACTGGAAATTGTATTACTACTGACTGTAGATACTACCTTGTTGAATATTGCCATCAGGTTTGTTTCTGTAAGACTGTTGAGTGTTCAGCTCTTTCTGCAGCTGACTGTCTGCATGAGCAGGACACTTAAAAATGACTTGTCAGGCCTCTACTGCTGTCGGCATATGGCATGAGGCAGTTAAATAAAATCTGCACTGTTGCTCACCATGTTTTGTGAGCAATCTTCTTCACACACTTGACCCAAAACATCAACTTTCCTGCTCCTCAGATACTGATCTGCTGTGTTCCTCCAGCTCCACACGGTGTTATGTCAGACTCCAGCATCTACAGTTGTTATTATGTCTGACCACTATGTTATACACTGTTTGCACTGTTGATCATCATGGATAGCTTTGCTGACACAATCCTCTTTTAGATTGAGATCTACAGGATCACATATTCTGGTGTTGTGTAGGAAAATCACTTGGCTGTCTAATAAGAAGAGGCTCTTGTCTTGAACTGGGTATACTCTATTGTATGTTAGCAACTAAGTAGAAGTTCCACTGATAGGAAATAGATGACAGAGACTTTGAGGAGGATCTGGATGTTAAGTCTTCCTACCTTGAGATCCTAAGCGGTTCTTCCGTCAATTCTGCACAATATAGAATTGGATTTAGCACTTGGGACTGAAGGCATCAAAGGATATGGGGGTAAAGCAGGAACAGGTTATTGAGTGGGACGATCAGCCACGCTAACAGTGAATGACTGAGCAGACATGGGATGCTGGTAAACCTACTCCTGTTCCTATTTATTATCACAGAGCAGGCTCGAGGGGGCTGAACTACCTACTTCAGTTCCTATTTGTTATGGTGAAACAGGCTCAAGGACCTGAATGAATGATTTCTGCCCCTTTCTTACAATTTTATAGGAGCAAGATTGAGGGGCTGAATGACCGACCTCTGTTCCTTTCTCTTATGGTAGAGCAGGCTCGAGGGGATGAATGTCCTCCTCCTCTCCCTACATCAGATAGGAACAGGCTCACAGGGTTGAACGACTGCCTCCTTTCTTCATAACCTTTTGTCTTACAGGAGCTGGTTTGAGGGGGCTGAATGGCCTTCTTCTGTCTCCATATATTATAGAAACATGCTGGAAGGGCTGGATGGCCTCTGTCCCTATAATCATATAGGAACAAGCTTGAGGAGCTGAGTGGCCTGCTTCTGTCCCTATCTCCTATACAGTCAGTTCTGCTATAATGCAATAGTTGTGTCCCATAGGCCTTGCTATAGAAATAACAGAGCCTATGGGAAAAGTGGAGTTAGGGGCAAACCACCAAAAAAAAACACTCAAAATCACACAAAAGCCAACACAAAAGGATAGCACAGTTTGAACAAACGTTTAATTCATATCTAATAATGAAATAAGAGTAAATTTAACGCCTTATCTTCAAAAATTGTCAAGATGATTTGATGGGTGAGGAGATTTTGAGGCTGCTCTGTTGTTAATGCAGGAGCTGAGCGTTGTCATCATCACCTTCAAGTGCAGTTGTGGTTGCAGGGTTAGGGCAAAAAAAAAGCCAATCCAGAAGTGGAATGGATGTGGTTCTTGTTTTCTGACTGTTTCTTGGGGGTTGGGTTAAAGAAGACATCCAGTTTTTGCTGCTTTGTCCTTTTTCTTCTTTTATGAAGCTGTTCATAGGGTGCCAAATAAGATCTTATTCCACAAACTGCTACCCTGCTGCTTTCAGCCTTGTAATTGAAGTCCTACAAGGGATGCAACTGCTTCTCAATTTCTCTCAGGATAGAAGACAAAACAGAAGAAGTGGAAAGCTCTTGTGCTGCTGCATCCTGGACTACTTCTTCATCTCCAGATTCCACTTCCCCCTCAGCGACAAGTTGTCATAGATCAGCTGCAGAGAGGTCTTCACAGTGGGATTCAAGCAGCTCTTCAAAACCTGTCTCATTCAAATTGAAAATTTGATCCAAGTTGCAGCCATCTTCGTCAATTAATATTTTTACTACAGGAAGAAAAGCCATCACATGCTCCTCATCTGCACTGGCAGCTTCGCCACATAATTTTACATTATGAAAAACATCTCAAAACCAGCCACTGCAAGCACTAAAGGCAGGCACATCTGCAGGATTTTGAACTTTTTTGTTAGATCTTCTAAAATTGATAAGGCTTTCTCTTATATGGTGAGAAACGTGGTCCCAGGTCACTTTTTCGTTTGATCTTCTATCCACACACTTAAAAACCGCTCCATCTCCTCAAGTTCCTTTGTCCGTGACCTCTCAGATTTGCTAGCACTCAGACTTGTTCCAGCAATACAGCTTGCTTTATTCTTTTCTGCATTGTCTCTGATGGTGCATAAGGTAGGCTCCTTTATTCCTGTAATGCGAACTATATCTCACGGGTTCCTTCATTATGCTGAAAACACTTTATAACGTCTAGCTTCTCTTCCAGTGTTATAGCCTTTCTTTTGCACTCACCACCCACAATTTTATCACCAGGCCACTTCTTCCTAACATTCTTGTCACTTTGTCCTCGCATTTTAGTGGGTAACACAGCAGAATTTGCAATAAAAACGTGAAAAAGTACTGTACCTCTCACAGAAAGCACTTCACAACATCTGCAAAATGATCACATGATGCCAGCAGAGAGACACTTTTGGCGCTAACACTGCACTTATTTAGGACAAAGCCCGTGAAACGATCACATGATGTCAACATGTACTCCTCCGCACACCGACGGAATCACGTTATAGCCAACACGAGTTTGCGTTTTAGAAATAGCACTCCCCTACTCATCAGTCATGTTATAGCCAATTCTTGTTGCCGGAACACCGCTATAGCAGAACTAACTGAAGGAACAAGCTCGAGGGGCTGAGCGGCCTCCTCCAGCACCTCCCCCCCCATATCCTAAAGAGGCAGGCTCGAGGGGCTGAGCGGCCTCCTCCTGCCTCCTACGGGGGCAGGCTCGAGGGGCTGAGCGGCCTCCTCCCGTCCCCACTTCTTACAGAAGGACGCTCAATGGGCTGAGCGGCCTCCTCCCGCCCTCTTTTACCTTGTGGTCTTCTCATGGCCAGTTGCTATGACGACGACGCCTTCCGGTTCCCCTGCGCGACGTCACGTCCGCCGCCGGCCGTTAAGGAAACGTGGCCTTTTTTCAGGCTCTGCTCGGGGAGGGAACATGGCGGAGATTGAGAGCCCGCTGGCCGTCGACAATGCGACCCTCAACGACACCGAAGCCATCGCCGCTAACGCCACCGGCCGGTTCGTGGCGACTCCGGAAGGTTCGGCCGTGGCCTACGGAAGCCTGGTGTTGATGGCGCTGCTGCCCATCTTCTTCGGGGCCCTGCGCTCTGTCAGCTGTGCCAAGTCTAAGGTAATTACTGGGGGTAGGAATGGCTGTGGCTCAGCAGGAAGGCAGAGACAACCGGCTCCGCCGATGCACGTTCCTTTCCTGTAGTCCGTACAGAAGCAAGTGGCAGATGGTTGAAGTTTCCTCCCGTTTCTCCCACCACCCCAAAAAAAAGCTGAGCGACACTATGCTTACAATAAAACAAAGAGCGAGATGCTGGAGATCTTAAGCAAACAAACACACACGTTGCTGGAGAAGCACTGTTGGTCTGGCGCCATCTGTGAAGAGAGAAGTTAGAGTTAACTTTTCGAGTCCAGTGACTGAAGAAGGGTCACTGGACTCGAAACGTCAACTTTCCTGCCTGGCCTCCTGCGTTCTTCCAGCTCCACACAGTGTTATAGCGAAACGTTAACTGTTATTTTCTTTTCACTGATGCTGCCGGACTTAGGTTGCCTTATATGCTTCTCTTCAAATCAATTTCATCTACGTAGTCTTTTATTTTGACATCTGTATGTTTGTATTTTTAGTTATACTTCTAGGGTGTTGACACAACAGCTTAAGAAAGCAGCTGGGAAAAAGAACTTGGCAGTTTTGTTGTGCTGTTCACAAACATAGGATGTACTGCTGAAGTGTAGCCTTTGATCTGTTGCAAGTTACCTATGTCTTTGTTTCTGTTTAAATTGCATGTATATGTGTTGTATAATCATATACTTATTTTATATTTAGGAAGGTATTAGAGAGGGTATGGGAAAGAGTTGAAGGGAAGCAACCTGGTTAAGAACCTTCCAATCATGAGGATAGATTGGAGAAGCGGGGGCTGCTCTCTAAGAAGAGAAGAATGTGATGAGACATGTTAGACATGTTGAGAATTGTGAAGGGTCAAGTCAGAATAGATTAGGGTGAAACTATTCCTGTTGACAAAAAGGTTATGAACTGGAGGACACGGATTTAAGAAGATTTGCTAACAAGTAACAATGACAAAGAGATTTTTTTTTACTTATCTGGTGAGTGGTTATGATATGGAATGCACTGAGTGAGGGTGTGGTGAAGGCAGATTCAAGCAAAGCTTTCAAAAGAAGAAACAGTTGTGGGATGATGGAAATAAGGTGGGGGAGTGGAACAAGTGATTTGCTCTTGCAGAGAACCAGCATAACCCTAACCAGCTCAAATGTCCTCGCTGTCTGTTTTAACTTTTCTTTTGATTCTGTGTATCTTTGATAGTAAGACGATAGGACAGGTGAACAACAGTCGAAAGATCATGACTATTTTTATGGTAGCTTTCCAAGCACATGTTTACAGCAATCCAAAGTATAGTGACTGTTGCAGTCATCAATAAAACATACGGGATCCTGCATGCCATGCATAGGGATTTGAAGTTCTAGTGAATCTTTATAAGTTGCTAACAAAAGCAAAAATTGCTGGAAAAACTCCACAGGTCTGGCAGCATCTGTGGAAAGAAAGCATAGGTAAAGTTTCAGATCCAGTGACTATTCTTCAGAACTTCCTAAATTGCTAGTTTGGCCCTAGCAAAATTGTTGTCTCATTCAGGGCAATACTTTGGAGAGTGTGCAGAAGGGATTTGCTCAAATAATTCCAGAAATTTCAGTTGGATAAACTAGAAAAACTGAGATTATTTACTCTTCCTGGAGCAGAGACGGCTTGGAAGCAGATTCAATGGATGTGTTTAAAATTGACCAAAGTTTAGATTAAATTGAGAGACTTTCAATGTATGAAAGATTGGAAGGTACAAATGAAGTGGTTGCAAAAGAAATGGAAATTACATGAGGAAAGGTTTCAACATGTTGGGTGATTGATTTCAAAATGTAGTGTCTAATGTGTGGTAGGAACAAATTCTGCTTTAGTTTTCAAAAACAAATTGCAAGAGGAAGCATTTCAGAGATGCTGGGGTAAGGGTGGGAATGAGGGATGAGCTGGTTCAGGTTTGATGCCTCCTATATTGTTCTCATTCTTGCTCTACTTCATCTCTCCTGTCTTTAAACAGTACGTCTTACCATGTCTTTTATTGTATTATCCATCTTGGGAAATGGATATACTGCTCAATTATAAAGTTGAGGATATAATTAATAAATCAAATAGATGGCATCAGGTGAGATGCTAACTTATTAAGCATGATTGGATTATTCTCAGAATTGGCACATTTACCGTTAGATTTTAAGGAGATACATTTTGAGGTTTGTTCTGATATGGAGTTCAAAGGAATTATTGTAAAGCAGCTCAATTAGTCCTCCTCTCCTGTTCTCTCTCCATAGCTCTGCAAATTTACAGCTCTGAAAATATGTCTGATTCCCTTTGGAATTCACTATTAAATCTACTACCACTAGAGTTTGACACAGTGTATTCCTGATCATAACTTGCTGCATAAAAAGAGGTGTCCTCATCTCCTCTCTTTAATCAATTATCTTTTCATAAAAGTGTAGCTGCAAGGTGTATTACCCTGACGTTTGACACTTTTTTCATGTCCTCTTTAGCTGTCTCTCTTCCATTACTGAAGTTTGTAATTTGTGTGGGGATGCTGATCCAAAGGTGCAAGTTTTTCTCTGTGGTCCTGATGTAGATACATGGTGTTAATAGGATGGGAATTTGTGGATTTTGATCCTGTGACAACGAAGGAACAGAGGAAAAAAAGTTCCAAGTTATGATGGTTTGTGGCCTGGATGGAACTTGCAAGTGGAGATATTCTTGTGCATCTGCTGCCCTTGTTCATCCAGGTGACACAGGTTGTGGGTTTGGAATAACTGTGTCGGAGGAGCATTGTCCGCAATACTACTTGCGTGTAGTAGTTGGTGGATGAGATGCTGATGAAGCGGACTGCTCTGTTGTGGATGGTTTCAAGCTTTTAGATGTTTGAGCTGCATTCATCCAGGGAAGTGGAGTATTCTGTTGAATTCCTAACTTGTGCTTTGTAGATGGAGGGCATGCACTATGGAGAGTCGGAAGTTACTCTCCAAAGAATTCCCAACCTTGGACCTACTCTTTGTAGCCACAGAATTTATATGGCTGTTCCCAGTCCCATTAGCGGAGGAGTTGACCACTGGAAGACTGTTCAATGTTAAGAGAAGGTGGTAGACTGCTTCTTGGTGATGGTCTCAGTCTGGCACATACATAGTGTAAATATTTCCTGCGAGTTATCAGTCCAAATCTGGATATCGTCAAGATCTCGCTGTGTACGCCTGCTGGTTGCTTCACTATCTCAAGAACTGCAAATGATGCTGGAATCGAATGTCCTTTCTTCTGACATTTTATAATGGAGGAAAGATCATCATTGACGTCACTGTAGATGGTTAGACCTAGAGCTGCCTGAGGAACTTCTGTAGTGAAGTTCTGAGTTGAAGATAACTGGTCTCCTACGTTATCTTTCTCCTAACCAGAAAAGTTTTTTTTATCCTGTAAATTTTGATTTTCGCAGAATCATAATAGAATCCCTACAGTGTGGAAACAGGCCATTGAGTCTACACCAACCCTCCAACGAGTATCCCACCTAGACCCACCCCCTACCCTGTCCCTGTAACCCTGCATTTCTCATGGGTCATCCGCCTAGCCTGCATATCCCTGAACACTACGGGCAATTTACCATGGCCAGTCCACCTAACCTGCACACCGATGGAATGTGGGAGGAAACCGGAACTCCCACGCAGACAGAGGGAGAATATGCAAATTCCACGCAGACACTCACCCGAGGGTGGTATTGGACCCAGGTCCCTGACGCTGTGAAGCAGCAGTGCTAACCACTGAGTGACTGTGCCACCCATCACTAAGGGTCTTGATGCTACACTTAGTTAAATTGTCCCTCGATGTCAAAGGCAATTACTGTTGCCATTCCTGTAGAATTCAACTCTTTGTAATAAGGCCTGATGGTGATTGGCCCTGGAAGAACCCAAATGGAGTTTTGGTGCATTGGTTATTGTTAAGTGACTCTCTTGATATAACTGTGGGAACCATACTCATCACTTTGCTGATGATTGAGAGCAGACTGATGGGACAGTAATGGGATGGATTGGATTTGTCCTGCATTTTGTGTGCAGGACGATCCTAAGTCATTTTCTGCATTGTCTGTTTGATACCAATGTTGTAGCTATACTGGAATAACTTGGTTAGATGTATAGCTAATTGGGGAGCACAAGTCATCAGTAATGCGCCCAGCTGTGGTCAGAGCGCATCATCTTTGCTATTTCCAGTGTACCTAACCATTTCTTGATCTCCTGTGGATCGAGCTGGCTGGTGTCATCTGGCTTCTGTAATCACAAGAGGAGACTATTTAGAATCATCCACTTAGCATGTCTGCCTGAAGATGATGGTTGTAAATACTTAAGCATTTTCCTTTTAACTGATCTGGTGGCAATGCTAGCATTGAGGATAGGGATAGTCCAAGAGCTGCATCAGGTTCGTTATTTAATTGTCATCCTGCATTCACAACTATTTGGCAGGATTGTGGCGTCCTAATCTGGTTGGTTGTTGGACTGTTTCTCTTGCTTTTGTGCATTTAGTGCAGCGTTTTTGATTCAGCAGGCTGGTACCTGTTTTTCAGATATGTGTGATGCTGCTGTTGGCATTCTCTCCTACACACTTCATCAATACATAATTGATCCCCTAGTTTATTAATAACAGTAGAATGAAAGATTAACCTTGCCATGAAGTTGATTGTGTTAAATACAGTTCCACTGCTCGTAGCTCCCTGCACATCATATGTATTCAGTATTTATTGAGCTGCTGGATCTGTTTTGAATCCAACCCATTTAATGCAAGACAAATACCACGCAACACAATGGATTGTGTCCTCGGTGTGCGGATGGGATTTTATTTTTTCAGGGAAGTTGATGCATCTGCAATGAGTTGTATGGTGAGACTGAGCTCCAGTACATTTTTCATATGTTATTTATCTAACTATTGGCTACAGGTGAAAGGTAGCATTGTCTTTCAAGGCTCGGTCTGTAGGGTTGTTGAGTTGCCCTTTGTGATTGGCCTGTTCTCCTAATTTTGGCGCGTCCTTGGATGTTAAGGAATTTGCAGGTGGGTGTGCGACTTTGTTATTATCAGTGCCAGGTAATATTTTCTATTTTTAGACTTTGTTTGTAGTTTTTGTTGCATTTGAATGATTTGTTAGATATATTTGAGAAGACCATGTGTGAATTTCAAATTACACACCAGACCTAATAAGTACACCAGATTTCCATCTGTGAGCGACAATATGGTTAACTACACATTGCTCTCTGAGCAGAAATTTAAGTCAAATAGATCTGTTTGCTCTGGATTTCAGAAGTGATATCATTGAAATAAATGATCACTTTCACTGTTTAGATCGTGACATTGCCGAATACAGTAATATTGGGATAAGACTACCTCTATTTGAGATTGAGATGACAATGCATTTCTTCACTGTTGCTAAATTTTGAAATTCTCTATTTCTAACAGACTGTGGGTGCTTAGTTGTTGGGTATGTTCCAAGTTGACAGATTTTGAATGGAAAAGGATAACTAAATTAAGTGTAGTGAAATTGTCTTCCATATGTTCAGTTTTGAAATAATTTTGACAAGTTCCTTATTCTGTATCTTTTTTCCAGTTTAGGTGTGCCTCATATAGCTTGTTGCCACAACAACCACCAGACTAGAAGTTCTGAGGAAGTGTCACCGGACCTGAAATGTTGACTGTAATTTTATTTTATTCAGATGCTGCCAGACCTGCTGAGCTTTTCCAGCAACTTCTGTTTTTGTTCCTGATTTACAGTATCCGCAGTTCTTTTTGTTTTTTACCAAACTAGACATCTTGAATTTGCTCGATGTACTTGGCAAAATGTGAGCAATGGCAAGGTTGTAGTATCTCAAGTCCTCTTTGAGTAATTATTTCAGATAAACTTGACATGATAGTTCCATCTGCAATGATACTATGGGAACAATGTAAATATACTTCTAGAAGTAGAAAAGACAGTGACTGGAAAAATGGTCAGACCTTTGTCCCTGCTGGTAACTATATTCATTTAATTTGGAGCATTTCTCTGAAGACTAAGGTAGCAAACAAATTCCTCGATCATTATCTAGTTGTGAAAGACTTGATGTTATATATAATACAGCTTTGGAATGAATGATATCTGGCAATTTTATTTTTCCTTGCTCTCTTTTTCCATGTTGTAAACACAGTGGGTTTGAGATTATTTGCTTAGCTGGAATTAAATGTTTTCCATAAATGGATGCTGTTGTTCTAAGCCCTATCAAGATAAAAGTGAAACATATTTTGGTGATGAGGGAAAATGTGTTTTGCTTCAGCTTAATTTGCCTTTAGTTACAATACTTATAAAAATAAAGTCTGAACTGAACATCTATTAAATATTTAACCTGACCTTGAACTAACTGTACAATATGCTTGGAGCCTTACCATTTTTTTTTTAATTGCAGAATTCCTCCGATATGCCAGAGACCATCACAAGTCGAGATGCAGCCAGGTTCCCCATCATTGCCAGCTGCACACTGTTTGGCCTTTATCTATTTTTCAAAGTAAGATTACTTGTCATATTGTCCCTCAATTTTCAGTCTCCCCTGTTCAGTTTTCACCTCCCCACCCAAAACTGCTGAATCTTAAAATATCTCCAATTGGATTGTCTAGCCTTGATTTCCATCATCCTTTCCCTTACCAACATCAACACACTAAGTGCAAAACTAACTGCAGCATTTTCTGTTTTCAGATATTTTCTGAAGAATATATCAACTTGCTGCTGTCCATGTATTTTTTCATACTGGGTATATTGGCTTTGTCTCACACTTTAAGGTATGTGGTCTAAGAGTCCTGTGGAGGAGAAGTGAATCATTTGCTGTGTAGCAAATGCTTATGGCTTATTGTGCATGGCAACATATAGTTTAACTCTATTCTTCAATAAAGAGCTCTGGTTGATTTAGTTGATGGGCATCTTAGAGAGGAAATGTTTTCTCATCCTGGGTATATGAGAAGTAGGGAGGAAAGAGGTGGGCAAGGAGTGCCAGGAGCTCTTTTAAATTGTTGCTGTATTAGAGCTGAATTTTATTGTCTGATTGTATGGTGCCAAGTAGTGTTCTTAAAATCTAGCTGTTCAATGTTGCAGGTACTTTCAAGTACGTAGAATCATACAGTATATGAGAGACTGTTTGGCCCATCAAGTCTGTACAGCCAAAACGACACTGAATCCATAGTTGGAGATATGTATCTTTAATTTTAACTCGTATTTTTTGAATGAAGCTCCAGCTAAATAGAATGTAAAGTGAATGTGCATAGGTAAAATAGAAAGAAAACTAGCCCTGCCAGTTTTTTGAGGGAGCAAAAACAAACTGCAATTTAGGAACCAGTACTCCTGGCAAACTTAACATGTTTAAAACATCTATAAGAGGACACTGAGATAGTAGGAACTGCAGATGCTGGAGAATCCGAGACAACAAGGTGCAGAGCTGGATGAACACAGCAGGCCAAGCAGCATCATAGGAGCAGAAAGGCTGACGTTTCGGACCTAGACCCTTCATCAGAAATGGGGGAGAGGAAGGGGGTTCTGAAATAAGTAGGGAGAGAGTGGGAGGCGGAAAGAAGATGGATAGAGGAGAAGATAGGTGGAGAGGAAACAAACAGGTCGAAGAGGCGGGGATGGAGCCAGTAAAGGTGAGTGTAGGTGGGGAGTTAGGGAGGGGATAGGTCAGTCCAGGGAGGACGGACAGGTCAAGGGGGCGGGATGAGGTTAGTCGGTAGGAGATGGGGGTGCGGCTTGAGGTGGGAGGAGGGGATAGGTGGGAGGAAGAACAGGTAAGGGAGGCGGGGACGAGCTGGACTGGTTTTGGGATGCGGTGGGGGAGGGGAGATTTTGAAGCTTGTGAAATTGACATTGATACCATTGGGCTGCAGGGTTCCCAAGCGGAATATGAGTTGCTGTTCCTGTAACCTTCAGGTGGCATTGTTGTGGCACTGCAGGAGGCCCAGGATGGACATGTCATCTGAGGAATGGGAGGGGGAGTTGAAATGGTTCGCGACTGGGCGGTGTAGTTGTTTATTGCGAACCGAGCGTAGGTGTTCTGCAAAGCGGTCCCCGAGCCTCCGCTTGGTTTCCCCGATGTAGAGGAGGCCACAACAGGTACAGCGGATGCAGTATACCACATTGGCAGATGTGCAGGTGAACATCTGCTCGATGTGGAAAGTCTTCTTGGGGCCTGGGATAGGGGTGAGGGAGGAGGTATGGGGGCAGGTGTAGCACTTCCTGCGGTTGCAGGGAAAAGTGCCAGGTGTGGTGGGGCTGGAGGGGAGTGTGGAGCGGACAAGGGAGTCACGGAGAGAGTGGTCCCTCCGGAAAGCAGATAAGGGTGGGGAGGTAAAGAGGTCTTTGGTGGTGGGGTCGGATTGCAGATGACGGAAGTGTCGGAGGATGATGCGTTGGATCCGGGGGTTGGTGGGGTGGTGCGCGAGGACGAGGGGGATTCTTTTTTGGTTCTTATTTCGTAGACGGGGTGTGAGGGATGAGTTGCGGGAAATGTGGGAGACACGGTTGAGGGCGTTCTCGACCACTGAGGGGGGGAAGTCACGGTCCTTGAAAAACGAGGACAACCGAGATGTACGGGAGTGGAATGCCTCGTCCTGGGAGCAGATCCGGCGGAGGCGAAGGAATTGGGAATTGGGGATGGCATTTTTGCAGGAAGGTGGGTGGGAGGAGGAGTATTCTAGGTAGCTGTGGGAGTCGGGGGGCTTGAAATGAATATCGGTTTCTAGGTGGTTGCCCGAGATGGAGACAGAGAGGTCCAGGAAGGAGAGAGAGGTATTAGAGATGGTCCAGGTAAACTGA